GGGTGCCAATAATGTGGCATCAGTGATTTTGCTAAAACCAATTATTGTGTTTTTCTTCTAATGAATGAATGCATTAGTTTAAAGCAGGGGTGTCAAACTCCAGTCCTCAAGGGCCGCTGTCCTGCAGTGTTTAGATGTGCCACAGGTAAAAAACAGTGGAATGAAATGGCTTAATTACCTCCTCCCTGTGCAGATCGGTTCTCCTGAGCCTTGCTAATGACCTAATTATTCTTTTCAGGTATGGTGCAGCAGAGGCACATCTAAAAGTTGCAGGACAGCGGCCCTTGAGGACTGGAGTTTGATACCCCTGGTTTAAAGGGACAGTATCATTTATTTCCCATGCACACAGTGTCATGTCATAGCACATCAAGTAACTATGTTACCTTCAGTTGTTGTAAAAATGCTCTAAATATCAAACATAACTTCAAACAAAGTTGACTTTACAATTTGACACCTTGAAATTGCTCCTCTGTCTCTTTAAGAAACTCCTGCTCTTTCAGACACTCCACCATCGGCCCATCATCACGACAGTGCTTCTCATTATGCCGTTTACAGTCGTCCTCAGGAGCGTTGGACAGAGAGGTAGCTCAGTGAACTCACAGTCCCACCAGGTGTTTGTTAACTACTGCTGCCGCTAGTCTGGAGGAGCTTTATGGGAATAGGCTTTGTGAGAGCAGTCGTATGATTGTCTGCCTCAAACACACATGAAATAATCAAAGTAGCACTCCAGAGATGTTTTTGATGAGGGAATAGCATGATAATATATAGCTCAAATAATCAATTTAACACAATCCCCCACTGCTTTTTGTTTAAAGTTTGTTTTTACGTATCTTTGCCAGGGGTGCCACTAATGTAAAAGGCGTGAAACCAACAGAACACCAAGACAAAAATAAACACGGAGACTGTAATTTTGTAATTCAATGTATTCACATTACAACATCCACACTGGTTCAGTCTGTGACGAAGTCTATGATCTCCAAATATATTCACTGTATGATACATAATACCAATATAGGCACTTCCAGTAAGTCCGGCAATATTGAAGCTACAGTATAGTGTCTAAATTACAAAACGGTAAAAATAAATAATGTATATCTAAAAGAGTTTTTGTAGTTTTAAAATTTCTTTATCTGTACAGCATATATTGTACAAAACGGAGCATCAACCTGCACAGAGATTCATTAATTTACTTCCACAAATACTGTGAATTTGGACGTAGTCTTCCTTTCGTATAGTGTGGTAAGTGAAGAGTACTAGTGAGGAAAAAAAAAAAAAAAGCAAGTCATTGTTTCATTACGTGTCAGCTATATAAAAATACTCATTTCATTTTGTTTACGTCGTTGTAAAGCTTGTTTGGTTCAAACGGTTACAATTATCTTACACTTGTGAATAATCATGACAATCAAACAAAACAATTTCATGGAAGAAAAAAAGAGAAAGAAGAAGTAACACTATAAAACAGATGCAATGTTTCAACTCACACGCAAATATTCTGAGGTGGGAAAATGCATATATCGGTCTGTCTTAATGAACAAGTGAACACCGCAGACGGAGTCTGAACACCTTCATGTCTGAGCTTTTGAAGCTGTGCAGCGAAAGCTCTGCCGCTTTACGCAGCGAGGAAAAAGGAAGTGTGCAGATCAAAGAGGAAGCACTAGGAGCGATATACTGCGGGAGCTTTGGAGGATAACTATCTGAGCGGAGCATGTGCGAGGAATTAAAAACTGCTTACTGCATCTCTTCGAGCTTCATCACCTCGCGTACTCCCACTAGAATCCCTCACCACAGCAGTACAACATTGGACAGTCACATTCAAAGGGCCAGTGGATCAATTGGAAAAAATAAAAAAAAGAAGATAAAACAACAAACACACAATATGGAGCGTAAAGTGTGGAGGATTGGGAAATCCAATCGAACTAAATGTTCGTTTCTAATATAAAGATTTTCTAAGATTAAAAGAAATGTGGCTTTTGTCTGTTTTGTGATAGTTGTGGCTCATTTGGAATGAAACCACTCAACAAAGCAAAAAAAAAAAAAAAAAAAATTAAATCTTGCAAACAGAAAGATGCAAAGGGTTAGAAAAACACCAGATGATTCACTGGCTTCAAACAATCCCGACCTGATAAAAGGCTCGAGGGCAAACATGTGTGATGCCAGACCAATCGGTAGGTCAGCCAATTATCAAGCCTGTGTGTGGCCTCCACTCTGAGCAGCACCCACTGCGGCAGAGTCAGGACGGTAGCAAAGAGGCCATTGTTCATGGACCGCCGATTCCACACAGACAGCGTCATTGTGTGGTGAAAAAAACAAAACATGTTAGTGCATAATCTACTGGCTGCTGTTATAATTCCTGAAGATACGTGAAAAGGATTGAGGTTATGGGAGTAAATTGTGTATGGAAACCTTTGCATCAAATCGCTTAAAAAAGGCAGGGGGAGGGGTTCAAGCTTTACAGTTTGAGCTTTCCCACTGAAACACCCAACAATGGTCTGGCCTCACGCCCGACATCCTAACATGTACACACAGCTCCCGTTGTGTGACCGACCAGGGACCAGGGAATGCACAAAATTAATAGGCATTTTGAAGCACTGCGCTACAAAAGGTTGGCATTTGTGGTATTGAGACTCGCAAACCCACTTGATTGCGATGCTTGTGTTTCAGACCCTGAAAAAAGAGCAAAGCACTTAGCAGTAGATGGAGACATTTCAAACAAGAATCTAGCTGCAATCGAGCATCTTTGTGAAACTCAGAAGGTGGGCGACTGTTTCTGTTCCCTCACAGAAAGGAAACATGCCTGAAGCCAAACAAATAAGCATAAAATCAGCAGAGAGGTATTCTAAGAATCTTTGGTACCACTTTATTTGACAGGGTGTGAATAAGACTGACATTACACCGGCATAAACGTGATTTAACACCTGTTATGAATGTTTATTCAGTAAATAATGACACTTTTAATGCAAAGTTGCTTTAAAAGTCCATTAAAAGTGCAATTTTTACACTAAAGTGACATTATTTGCCAAGTAATGCAAAGTTGGCACTTCTAATGCTACCTTTAAAGCAACTTTGCATTAAAGTGTCATTAGTTATCGAATGACACTTCATGACAACAGTCATAAAAATTCACAAACTCCTTCATTTTCATAACAGGTGTTATGTCATATTTATGACCTTCAAATAAAATGCTACCAAATCTTTTTCCATTCAGCTTTGAAACATGGTTGGTTTTATTCGGATCGTCTTCGATGTTTTGCACCCAGATTAAAGCTACGGCTCTTCCACACAATGTAAAGCGCAGTACAATATAGATCCCTAAAAACGGGTTTTTCTTTCATTATGGAGGCTTGTTGTGGCTCCTTCTTTGTAAAAAAAAAAATAACAAATTGAGGGAAATGTTTTCAAAACTGATATTCAAGGAGCAAAACTAAAATTTATTAATGTTTTTTTTTTTTTTATTTCCTCAAAAAGTTAGCTCAGGATTTCGTTTACATGAGTTTCTGTTAAATGGTTAAAGTGTTACCTGTATTAGAAAACTCTAAAGATGTATTCATTCATTATAAATCCAAATTAACGGCTTGTTCCAGAGGAAAAGGCCAAAGCAGATTTCCATCGTCTTTAAATGACTTTAAATACTTATATTAATTTTTTTTAGCACATTATCTGGATTTATGCTAAATGTAAACACCAGAAATTAAAAAAACTGACTATAGCCTTTTAACAGAACTTCACTTCAATAATCGTATCCCCTTACAACTGCTGGTGGGAAACCATTTCTCCCAGTATACATGTATCCTAACAGAGGCAAGAGATTATCACTGCAACTAAATAATGTTTTTTTTTTTTTTTTTTTTTTTTACCTAATTTTCAAAGTAATATAAATATTTGACATTTATTGGGGAATTTGAGCAACAAAGCCAGGTGAGTTTTGACAATAGAAACAATTCACTACGTTGGTGGTACTAAACCTAAAAGTCAGATAATAACCACATTGTCCAAACATCTCTACGGTTTCTAATGAAGCTCCAGGCCTGTTTTAAGAGGCTGCATGGACTGCATGAGATTTCTTGGCTTTAGTCACACAAAATGTGCTTTGTCTAAGCTCTCTTCTGAATAAGACGCCACAGTAGACTTTATTAAATTTGTTGCGCATGTTTACTGTGAACCTCTGACCAGCCTGTGTTTGTCAGCATGCCGTCTGCTGTGAACTGCAGGTGGATGAACGAGTCCCTGAGGCGTCAGGAGAATCAAACCGATTCACAGCACAAAGATCACAGAAAAACGTGACGGTAAGTGTCTTTAGTTTGTCCTTTGCCTTTCAAACACGTGTTTGTCTTTAAATGTGATACAGATGTAGTTTTCCTGAGGGTAACAACCAGTGTCAGTAAGATTTACATTGTTTTTTTTTTTTTTAAATGAAACTCAGCACCTTGAGTCCGATTACATAATTAATCTAAATATGGATGAAGCTAAAAGTACCTGCAAGTGAAATCTGGCAGGCTTCAAAGAACTCCCATTCAAAAAGTGTAAACATCTCTAATCAAATAAAAACTGACAATTCCCATAAAACCTTTGACGTGTAATTTAGTTGGTTCATTCCTTGTATTGGTTTGTAAGTTTTAAATTAAATTCACTTAACAAAAGTTGTACATTTAAGAACTTTATGCTCTCCTGTTCAAGTTTGGTCACAAGATGACTTCCCAAAAATGCTGAGCCATTTCTGAACACCAGTTCAGAGGAATGACCATATCGGTACAGTTTTAATATAAACTTTAGCTTTAGCTTGTTTTCCACCACAGCGGTCCCGGCGCTCACTCAGCACCAACTCTTCCCGTTTCCAGCTGCCAAACTCTGGTGCTCTCTAAGCAAACTGACACTTGAACTGACACTTATCTGGGCCAAGTACAAACTCCAAACTTACTTCAGGTTTCAGATCCAATTTAAGATGAAACAACTAAACTTTGACACGAATCTAAGACTGAACAAGCATTAGAACACCTCGAGTCGCTCCTTCTAATTTTTCAGCTTTTAGTTTTGCAATCACGCATCATGAAGTCACATGTGGGTCAATGCAATGCTTGAGTGTTGCTCGCCGTCGCTATTTAAACAATCCGTCGATCTATGTTGTGTGTGCCTTACAAAAGGTAATTCTCTCTCTTTTAAAGGCCGTGTGTGATTCACAACTGTAGACCAGAGAGCCACAGGTCACAACTACATGACTCAGGCATTTAATTGCAGAGGCACATAGATAAATTATGTGACTAGCTTAGTTTAAATTACTCACTGCACTGTGGTCCTCTACAGATTTCTTTTGTGACATAAAGCAGAACGAAGCTGGTCTTCTGGCTGTGGAAAACTGGAACTGAAACTGGTTCCAAGCTCTGGACAAGATCTGGAACCGCTTTGGTGAAAAATCCCCCAAAGATGATTGATTTCTGGCAACAATTTGACTGAATTTAGATCTTGTTTGATTAAGTGATAGCTCACTTAAGAGATTTGTTGTCCTGCCGTTTTTTTCTTTAAAATTAAAAACAAAAAAAAAGTTATCAAAAAAATTTTTCTACAGAAAAAAAACTGTAAAAAATGTTTTTATTGGCATATAAGTACTGTGTTGTTTTCAGCACTGTGTTGAATTGGACAGTATTTTTTCTATGATTAAGATATAATCTAATAATTATGGCCACAAATTTCACAGATCTTTTTTTTTTTTTTGTTTTGCGTAATTAAAAATGAGAAAACTTGTATTGAAACCCAGTCCATGTTTTGCAGAATCTCCTTTTCCAATTCCTCTTCCTCCGTCAGAACATCTGAGAACAGCAACGTTTGAGTCTTGTCAGATATTCTCTTTGGATTTTTGGTCCAGATGTGTTTGAGTTCAACCATTTCAGTCCAGCTCTGGCTAAATTGTGACAGCTTAGCCCCAATCTAGAGAATACTGCTTTTCTATCCATCTTTTCATGACTTCCTTAACTAATGGAGGAATAAAATGTCCCTCATCATGATCCTGCAACCGCTATTTGTCGCACTGTGTGAACGGGGTTCAGGCTGGCATTGCAGCATTATTTTTCTCTCACAAATAGTGTTTTGCACATTTGATTAAAGTTTAACTTTGAGTTTGTCATTGTGGTAGGAAACAGATAAAGGCGTATGAATACTTTTGATAGGCAATGCTGTAAAACAGTTGTGTCTTCGACATCAGGTTTACTGTAGTTTAAAAATGCGATAATCTGACTTTCTTTTTCTTCTTCCTTGTGCCTTATGGAGAAAAAATGTGTACATTAGAGTAAAAACTGAGGGACACACAAATGCAGACGCTTAGAGACAGTTCAGAGCCGTCTCTGCGTTTCTGAGACATATCTCTACATGACGGCATTAAGTACCTCATTTGGCAATAAACATCAAACATAATATTCATAAATATTTGACTTTGGCTGTTAAAGCCCAGAAGTGAGGGATTATTTTTGTCAAGAGTTGAAAGGAAGATTATTCCTCATGTGAATCAGTCCCTTTACAATCCATGTGTAGATTTAAAAAAAACAAAAACAAAACATAAACTAGCACAGTTTAAACCGAAAAAGATGAGCTACAATCGAAACACAAGCATGTGATGGTGATGTTTATATATAATCACATTCGGGAAATAATTCTGTATAAATTGGCAGCAAATTTCTGCAGTCCTGTGTTACCACACTTTGTTAAAACCTATGCAGCTGCTTGTCTTCGACTCCTGACAGTAGCAAAATAGTCTGTATCCCAAAGTCCATGAATAATGCATTATTGCAATCTGGGAAAAGAAAAACCCATATAAATGTTTGGTAAAACCACATATTCAGGTTAAATATGTAAAGCACAAGATTTCCCACCCTGTATTTTTTATTTTATTTTAACTTTTTTTTCTGTGTAGGCACGCGTTTCCCAAACATCTACAGTGTTGTGTCTAAGTAATGTGCTGGCAGAAACAGGAGTCAGTAGGATAAGGTCAAAAGGAACATTTCTTTACATCCTTATCCTGACTGATGCTGCGTCTCTATCTGAGGGCGTCTGGAGTTTAGAGGTTTCACTGTGGTTCGCTGTCCCCTCCCTCCTCTGGAGTCTGAGAGTCGTCCCTGTCAGAGACGGGCCACTCTGCTTTCTCCGTCTCCTCCTCCTCACAATGCTCTCCTTCCCCCGGCTCTTCCCTGCTCCCCGATTCCTCCTCCTCTTCGTCAATAGCCAGAATCGGCTCAGTGACTTTGTTTAAATGGGCGGACTCCGTTCCTTGCTCCTCATTCTGGGATTCGTCTTCTATCACCTTCTTCCACATCTTGTGATTTTCCAGCAGGTGCTGTGTGATCTGGCAAAATACTTTCCTCCTTTTCTTGGGAGCTGCTTTCTCTGGATGAAAAAAAAAAAGAGGAAGGTAATTTATTTAGTGTTATTTTTACTTTTTTTATGATAACCAACATGCCTCTTATAAAGGATATGTGTCTTTTTTATTGCAGATTATTTAATTGGTCAAAATTATTTGCAACGTGGAAGTAACTGGACACAGGGTTTTTGTGACATGTTTATGTATTTAAGCACGAAAAAAGTCATGAAAGGCTCATTCATAGTGTCATCACACATAGTTTGAAAAAAAAATAAAGGATGTAAAAATGTGGCTACTGGGTTGGAGCCAATTTTGTAGCATTATCTACTAAGGACAAATTATTTTACAAATGCAAATTATAGTACATTAGTGAGAAGTCCTAAACATCAGCAGGTTTGAGTTGTTGAATGATTTGTTAATTACATCCACCAGCCAATAACACCATGTTTTTCCCAAAGAAATTTAATATAACTTTATATTTTTTTTATATTTTTATATCTATAAAAATCCTAAAATACAACTCATCTAATTTTGTGAGTGAGTTATAAATAAAGTACAATGTTTTCTTTTCTTTTTTTTTTCAATCTTTGAAAATCAAAGCTACTGTTTCTTAGAGCCTTTCTAAGGTCCAGCCCAGATTGCAGCAGCAGTTGCTGAAATATGTCGTCCTGCAACTTATCAGCTAGGATATTGTGTGAATAAATTTCCAGGCAACTTTTCTCAGACCAGCATCTGCAAAAAAAAAAAGAAAAAAAAAGAAAAAGGAAAACATGTTTTTTTCCATTTTGTAATCGTAAACTCCATTGTTCTGATCTATCTCATAAATCTTTTTAAAAAGATATTTTAAAAAATACCTTGAAGCAAAATGTGAAAAAAGTTCTGGCTTTGTGCCGTAAAGCGGACACAGTTTGCTGCCCTTCCCTGCTGTAACCGTAAGTGTGCTACACATTTAACAATCAAGTATTTCTAAACAGGATACAGTACAAAAGATGAGAGTGATCCATTTCTTCTTTTTTTATTAGTTTCTTCTAATTTTCTAAAGAGATCTTTGGCAATAATTATCTGATATTTATGGAGCTAGGCTGGTTAATTGTCTTTTATCAAACTTTGCATTTTTTCCCCCTGACTTTTAGTTCTGCATTTTTGAGAGATGTGTTTGTTTCTCTTAAAGAAATCTCTAACAAATTAGATATAAAACTCTCTTAAGGCCTTAAATGAGCTTAGTTAATGTTTCTGTAATGTCTGTGGAGATCATGGTGAAAATCATCTTTTGCCAGGTTTCTTGGTTTCCTTAGTAACTAACTAATGTTAGCCATTATTCAGTGAAACAGAGATTTACTGTAAGACTTTTAAAATGAAAAAAATTTGAGTTGTATGTTACATAACTCTGACCTATAAAATATTTATTAAGAAAGGCTCTTATTTTTAAGAACGTGCACACATAAGAAATTTTAGTTAGAGAAGCAATTTTTAGTGAGACATCCAGGCACTAAAATGCACTACTAGAAGAACATACATATTTCTTCCTCATTTCTTAATATTTTTTTAGTTTATCTCTAAAAATACAAAAGATAAGACATAAAAAAATGAAAACATATTCAGCAGGAGCAAAATGGGAGCACTATGAAGTGCAGTGCAGCTGGATGTGCTGACTCAGATGAATCTCTAGTAACAAATGAAAATCCAAACAATGCGTGTTGCATAGAGGAGTGATTTTATATCTAGTAAATTACACTTAGCTACCTGATGGATGTAGGTCAAGTCAAGGCCTTCTGTGTTTTCTGCTCGTTGAAAATTACAGCTATCTTCTGGGAATAAATATTGAGTTATCAGGATCTTTAAATCTTCGCAGAATGAAAGAGGGTGGATTATAACTAAAGTTATATTAAATCAGTGGTTCCCAAACTTTTTCTTCTGCGCCCCCCGAGTGGTTTCCAAACATTTTCTGCGCCCCCCCTATGGATTACAAATGGCTGTCTGGTTGAAACGGGGTGGGGGGAATCGACTTTTTGGGGGGCAAAATGAATGTCCGTAGCTGAAAATA